CCTCCTTGACACGTTCGCCATGCTAGCAAGGCACTTCACACCGCTTGGGCACGGGCAGCTGGTGTATTTCGGGGGAAACCCACACAGCACAAGAGGGATCAAAATCCGAAATTATATTCCATGTAACATTCTATTACACTCCAATTTCCAACATGATTACGGTGATTCAGAGGACAGTGACTTAGAGAAAACAGTTCTTCCAGCAGTGATGCACATTTAGCTACGAAAAACAAGTAGGGATGCTGTTGATACCTACTGCAACGTTGTTTTGAAAGGATATAATATTCTTATATGTTGTAGAACCATACTATATTGTTTTTAATTCCAAATGTTGTATGAACTAGTGAAAAAAGTGGTCTCGGGGTAATGTTTAATGAAAGCATAATAAGCGGTAAACCCCCAATTGCTCTCTGTCACAACTCCCAGTGGTCGATGATGAAACACTAACATAGTTTCTTCACAAAAAACTTAACCATGTGCAACATGGCAGAGCATACAACTGCAAATTACATTCTATTAAAGGGTTCAGGAATTTCCAAACAGAGAATACACTTCTGGGCCCCATCCCCAGGTGTTTATAGAAGAGCTGAACTCAAAGTTCAGCCCAAACTGACTGAACTTCACTAGTCCTGTGCACTGTGCTCTTCACTGATAGATCAGAGTCCAGGACAGACTGGCAAAATGGCGCTTCCCTCATACCTTTCCACTCACTTCTCACTTCCCCTTAGTCGTTCCCTTTCTCCTTGATTTTATTCACTCCCCATTCAACTAAGTGTTGGGTTGTTTGTTGTTTGGTTTTTTTTTTAAAGAAACTTTGTTATTCTGTTCTATTAATTGTATCTTACTGTGTATATAGCTCACATATAGACTACATATCTGTAACATAATACTTATCTATAGTATGTATAATACATCTATAAGCATATGAGGCCAAATCTTTAGCATACTAGTCAATGTACAAACGTGTAGCCCCAGTGCTCCTCTTTTCAGTCCCCTTGAGCCACACTAACACACTCTTTACCTCATGCCATTCCAGCTAGTCAGTCTACTTGCCAACGATGTAAGTAACATCATCTAACCACAGAACCATAGCATCTCAACTCCTCTGCCTGTGCAGACACTAACCAAGACCACTTCCTCTTTCTCATCAAATTCTTGTCCCTTGACAACTTTTGTTCCTTCTCCCTAAAGGAATGTGTGAGCCAGAAGTTGAAAATCCTACAGTGTACAGATCTTCTCCTCCTCTTATGGAGGAGGAGGAATTAGGTCCTAAACGTAAGAGTTCTTAGAAGCTAACTTCCATTGGCACCGAGCTGAAATATACCAAAATCAGCAGTTAAGCATGGGCTGCTTGCAGAAGTTGAAGTCTCACAGTTTTATGCAGCTTAGTACAAAAGGTTTAGTGATAGCCCTGTCATAAATACATTGCTCTGCCTCCCTGCTGTGGCCATGGAGGAAACGTGGATTGACGAACACTGTAAGGAACAAGTTACTTACAGATCGCATTCTGCTTTTATTTCATGACCGCTTTTGTAATCCTTTTCACTTCCCAAATTTGAAGATACTTCATTATTAGAAATGGGAGTTTATTTCTCTCTTCTGAAGTGTTTTCATACATTTGTACTGTAATAATAATAATGTTTCTTTGCAAAGTGATTCAGTGGCCCCAATTACCAGGCATGCTCTATGGTTAGAAGCAAGACAATTCCATGTTCTAATTGAGCCCTTCACTTGTTCAACTGAAGGCATATTTTCTGAACTTCCTTAATTAAAATGTCCTCCTCCACTCTTCTGAAGTGCATAGCATTAGTTTTTCTCTCTCCTCTTAACAGCCTGTTCCTCCTAAACAGAACAGCTCCCTGACAACATTTTCTCTTGTCTGTGCCTTTTTCTACACTGGTATAAATTCTACCATATTAAACTTCTAGTCTTTCAAAAGACAGTGTATGCATCTTCTACAAAACAATTTCCAAACTTGTAGAAGTTCTTCTTTATGATAAAATGCGATTTCTCTTTCATCCACACTTAAATTTGCCAGCATTAAAAATGTTAACTGCACATCCTAAAATTTGGTGTCCTTGTAGTCTTAAAATCAGCTTTAAACACTATATTAAAATTGGCATCGTGGGATTCAGTATCTTTGTGCCTCCCTTCTACTTAATTTCACTAGTAAACTGAAGTGGAACTGTGGAAAAGTCTGCACATAGATAAACAGCTAGGAAAAGAGAGAAGAGCAGAATTAAATGTTTACAGTGAAGTCTAGAAAATATTTGTGCTTGTGCCTGTTTTGCTCAGCACACACGCAAATTAAGTAGAAAAGATGACAGATAGTGAGGCAAACCCATTTTTTAACAAGATTCAGCAGTCAGGGTAATTAAAATAACAGGTCATACAGGCTGCAGAAGATCTCAAGGTCAGTACCTTGAGGTATGAGTAATGAGTTTCAGCAGTCATTTCAGACAAATGTGAAATGATGCACATGAGTGAGTGGGAGAGGGAGGGGAATCATTATTTTTTGTTAACATATACAATGATGGAGTTAGAGTAAATAGATCTATGAAAATACCAGTTTGATGCAGCAGCCTAAAAGCAAGTCAGTTGTTAAACAGTTTGAAGAAAGAAAAAGAACAAAACAGAAAATACCATTATCCTACACTATAAGGTATGGTGCACTCATGTTCCAGTTTCCTTCCCTCTATCTCAAAAAGGATGAGGTAGACAGGGTACACTGAAGGACAGCAAATCTGATCAATCATGTAAGGCAGTTCCGATCATAGAACCAATAAACAGAGATTTTTCGGTGGGTGAAAGTGAGGAGTAGAGGGAAGTCCCTATGACAGAAATAAGAAATGGATAGGATAGGAGCATCCTATGATAGTGCCTAAAATAGGAATCTATAAAACCAGGAGTGGCTCGGGAAGTTCCTGGGGAGACAATTGCTAGAGATTGGATAGGTTCAAATCAGAGATGTCCTTGGGGATCCCACCTGGCATATAGCTACCACTTCAGAACAGCACAAGGCTCTTACACATCAGAGACATGCATTTGCCAGCCCCATGAGGGTGTCTCAAGTGTTCTAGGTCACCTGAAATAGCTCTAAAGGTCCATGCTTAGGCAACAGAAAAGCAGCCACTTGGGAGGTAGCTAGCACAACCAGCTGTTGTCACAGGAGACAAGCTGCCAAGTCTGAGGTTAACCCATGTGTCACAAAGCTGATGTACACCCCAGCTAGCCCCAAATGAGCTGCGCTGTGCTGTCTAGTCACACCATTACCACCACTGTGGGCAGAGGCCACAATGACACAGCTTCACTCTTTCTAGGACTAAGCTAGATTATGCATTTCTTTGCAGTACTGCACCTCATAAAGTAGACACAGCATAAAGCTAAATATTACTACTACTACTAAAAACAAAGCTGCTGGTGTTTGTCTCAATGGAAACCTCATTTGAAGGTGGCGTGGTTGCAGACATGACTGTATGCATGTAGAATTAAGATACTAGAAAGGAGAGAAAACAATCATGGGTTGAGTTTTTACAGCTAGCTGGTAGGTAAAAAGTTCTTCCATGTTTTTAATACTAGTATGTTTTGCATGGAAATCAAAGATATGGAAGCCACAGAACTTAAAAATGTCAATTTTTGAGAGAAAAGCTTCTTTGAAAATTAGTTTGTTGTCAGTAAATCAAAGTAGCACAATATATCACACTTGCTGTAATTCTGAAGACAACTATGGTTAAAAAGGTCTAGTAATAGTTATAGCAATCTTTCCTTTTACTCCCTTGTACAGTATTCTCACCAACCAAGAATTTTACATTCTGATGCTATTCAAAAAGTTGCAGCAAACACAGATGTTTCTGAAATGTGGGAGAAAGATTTGCGCCCTATCCTGATAGAAAGATACTCGGGATCACCAGGCAATTATGTTGTACGACAGGTAAGAATATTTCCTGAAAATCTCTAAGAACATCTATGTCGTGGTTTAGCCCCAGCCGGCAACTGAGCACCACACAGCCGCTCACTCACTCCCCCTTCCACAGTGGGACAGAGGAGAGAACTGGGAAAAAACTCGTGGGTTGAGATAAACACGGTTTAATAGGACAGCAAGAGAGAAGGAAACAATAATGGCAACAACAACAATAATACTGACAAAGGAATGTACAAGAACAAGTGATGCCCAATACGGCAATTGCTCACCACCTGGTGATCGACAGCCCGTCCCCGAGCAGCGATTCCCACCCCCCGGCCAACTCCAGTTTATGTACTGGGCATGACGTTATATGGTAGGGAATGTCCCTTTGGCCAGCCTGGGCCAGCTGTCCCGGCTGTGTCCCCTCCCAGCTCCCCGGGCACCCCCAGCCTGCTCGCTGGCAGCCCAGCATGAGAAGCTGGACTGGCCTTGACTGCTGAGCAAGAACTCAAAACATCAGCACCTTATCAACAGTTTCTCATCCCAAATGCAAAACATATCCTCACGCTAGCTTCTGTGAAGAAAACCAGCTCTATCCTGGTTGACACCAGGATAATCTATTACTTATATTTTGGTAGTGCCTTTAGTGACCGCTAAAGGGACAGGCACATTCCTTTCACTCGGCAGGATGAACTCCATCATTGTTCAAGTCTAGACTGCATAGAATCCACATGACACAGCTTGCACTTTAGCTGACATTATTTTCCAGGCCTGCATAGCATGATGGAAAAAATTAAAAATCTGCTTTTAAATTTATGTTTTAATTTAAAAAGCTTGCCTCACCTTTGATACCCAAAGTACAACACAACTGCCATCCTTCCCCTCACACGAACAGGTTTTTGGTCACTGGTTCACACTCCCTGGGACCATACACAGGGATGAAATAAATGACACCTCCTTGCCCTTTTTCTGGAGAGGTCCTATGCTGTTACGCTCCCCTGTAGTGTTGCTTCAGATGGGTGTATCAACACAAAAGGGGATCGGAGGGGCCTAAACGGCCCGGCAGATGAAATGGTCAACATGACGAAGTGCAGTGCAGGTCCGAGTACCATACTAGCTCTGCTGGCCCAAGCACAGCAGCGTGTTAATGCTGGGCTAACACATGCAGATTGCACCTGGCCCCAAGCCAGTAAAAGCTACAGCACATTGTATTTGAGCCACAAGGAGCTACCACGCAACTGGGTTGCTGCCCTGTCGGCACCTCTGCTCTGCACTCACGGTGTGGGCATCTTTAGGACTGTGTGTCGTGCTGGCTCTGGATTATATTAGCCAAGCAGACTAAACCGGTGGTACTGCTGAGTTCACTAGAAGACATTCACAACCTCTCAGTAGCCTTCATCTACCCTTCAGGCAGCGACTCAACAGCTCCAAGATAGCCCTAACTACAGTAAGTTTATTTGCCACTCTGCAGTTGGTAGACTGGAAAAATGCTGCTTTTTTATGCTTTGTGTGTGTGCACGTGCATATCTCTATAGATTTAGTTTTGTGGTTTCTTTAGTGATATCCTGGAAGGCAGCCAAATGAAAGGGGAGAAAGTAATTAAAAAAACCCCCAGTTGAGCCTAGGCTAGAAAACCACAAATCATGTTCAAAATAGGATCATCCTGTTACAAGGTAACAGCATGGAATAAAGTAGACCCCCACCAAAGGAGCGGGGGGGGGGGGGGGGAAGTCCTCCATTGTCAGAGCACAATGAAGTTTGAAATGGATGAATGGATGACATTTCTTTGTTAAGACACAGAAAGAGCATCAGACTCCTTTAAGGGAGAAGGCTAATGTCAGTCATGGCTAGTGCACACTGGGAACTCCATCCAGGCTTATATATTCCCCTTAATACATAACAGACGTCCTTTGCTCTGCCTACAGATAGCGGATAGACTGTACAATGCCATAAAACCTTTCAGAGGATGACCACAAAGAAAATGGAAGTTTGTTCTAGCACTAAAATTTATGGCAATATTCCCACTGACTTCACTAAGAGCAGGACAAGTCTTCAAAGTCTATTTTCTTATTCCCCTTAGAGGCTTTTCCTCATGTTTATTTAAACAGAGAGGAATCTGCCTTGAAGCACTCTAGGGACCCGTAAAAATAAGTTGCTTAACAGACATGGCCCTCTAACGGAGTTAGCCAGACCTCTGTACTAAGTATAACTGGGGTTGTTATAGAGGTATTCACTTTAGGTAGGAAGATACCTGAAATGAATGATCTCTTCTATAGATTCACTGTCTTAATTTTTATCTTTGCATGGCGTACACTTACAAGATTTCATTTTTAAAACATTGTCCTGAAATTTTTAATTCTTTCTTTAATTTACATGAATCAGACTGTCTCTTATAGCCTTATAAACAACTTATGTCACTTGAAAGGCAGATTTCTCATTGAAGCTAAAACCACTAAAAAAAAAACCCCCAAACAACCCCACAACAAACAAAAAAACCCTAGCTTTTTTTTTCTATACTGCTTTGGCATCTGTGTGTGGTAATTGTCAAAAAATAGCCACACCAAGTCCTCTGCATCCAGTTCTGACATTTAATTTATGGGCACAACTGAGTTTAGATTTAAAGAGGTAAACATTAAATCTGTCCTGGTTACACCTGAAAAAACACCAGCCTGGAAACTTCAGAGATCAAGACCTTAATGGGCAATCATTCAAAGCACCTGAGGCTCCAAAGATAGGAGACAAAGGGGAGAAATGAAAAGCAAGTTAAAGGCTAAGGTAGCAAAGATGTTGCTTATTTTATATAGTGATATTACATTTTTTGCTATAAAATTTATCGTTTAAAAATACCACAAACTTAACACAAATAAGCCTAAGTTCCACTATTAATTAGCTAATGACAATTTGTCTGCAACATCTTTCTGAAGCAAGCAATATTAATCTGATTTTTTTTTTTTTTAATTGCAGCATATCAAGCACCGTCTTCAAAGATTACAGGCTGGTTGGGAAATTGAAGAAGATACATTTCAGAGATACACACCATATGGATATCAAACATTTTCAAATATTATCGGCACTCTCAACCCCTCTGCAAAACGCCATCTGGTACTTGCTTGCCACTATGACTCAAAATTCTTTGGACAACAATGGCAGGAGAGAGTGTTTGTAGGTGCAACTGATTCAGCTGTGCCTTGTGCTATGATACTGGAGCTGGCACGTGCCCTGGATAACAAGCTTCAGTTAATCAAGGTAGTTTGCTTGTTTCATTTTCATTTAATTTTGCAATAGCAACAGGCCTTAGGGCACTTCCATGTTCTGTCCCATAGCCTGCATGCCTGATTCTCTGATTGCTGTGCTTGTAGTAAAATTCCCATTGACTTCAAGGACAGAACAGGGATCTGTATCTACTACTTTAGAGTACATACATTATCACATTAAAACTTCGTATGCAAAGGGTAGCTATCTAAAAATTATCTAATTTTACCTAATTTTTATCTAATTTTTAATCTAATTTTTATCTAATTTTACCTAATTTTTTATCTTTTATCTTTACTCGGCACTGGTGAGGCCGCACCTTGAATACTGTGTTCAGTTTTGGGCCCCTCACTACAAGAAGGACATTGAGGTGCTGGAGCGTGTCCAGAGAAGGGCAACGAAGCTGGTGAGGGGTCTGGAGCACAAGTCTTATGAGGAGCGGCTGAGGGAACTGGGGGGGTTTAGTCTGGAGAAGAGGAGGCTGAGAGGAGACCTTATCGCTCTATACAACTACCTGAAAGGGGGTTGTGGCGACGAGGGTGTTGGCCTCTTCTCCCAAGTAACTAGCGATAGGACAAGAGGAAATGGCTTCAAGTTGCGCCAGGGGAGGTTTAGATTGGATATTAGGAAAAATTTCTTCACTGAGAGGGTGGTCAGGCATTGGAACAGGCTGCCCAGGGAGGTGGTGGAGTCGCCATCTCTGGAAGTGTTCAAAAAACGTGTGGATGTGGCGCTTCAGGACATGGTCTAGGGGACATGGTGGCGCTGGATTAATGGTTGGACTTGATGATCTTGAAGGTCCTTTCCAACCTAGTGTTTCTGTGATTCTGTAATATATACTGTCTAAATAACAATTTATACATGAATAATACATGTTTTATAGACTCAGTGAGATATAATCCTACTTTTTATCTAAAAGGCATAGAACCTCCTCAGTTCAGAGGAATACTCAGAAGCTCCTACCCTATCCAGTAACAGCTAGGGTCATTGATAAAGTTTTGATGCTTTCCAAATCTTGCAGTTTTAAAATCTCTCAGTTGTATTCTGTTTTGGGAGACGGATGAACTAATTGCTGTGCAGGAGAGTTACACTCACATCTCTCCATGCCATAACGATTTCAAGCTTTTCTTCTTTTCCTTTATCAATTTGAATAGCTTATTTATGAAACAAGCAATGGCTGAGTGCAGGAGAAGAGTCAAGTAATAGTATAATATTATCAGTCTGTGGTATCTATGCTATGACAATCTGCTTCTAAGTGCTGCCATTGCTAGGCATAAAAATCTGTTGATCCTACAAGCTCTAAACGCTTGTAGGATTACAGATTCCTGAGTGCCATCTACTGGTTCAGTATTTATTATTTACGGAAGAATACTTCTCATACACTAACAGAGCTTTCACATGGAAAGGTCTCTCAAAAGCTTATGAAGTGTCGGGAATACACTCAGCTCAGGTTTTAAGATGACTTGTCAGCAGTTGTTTCCAGAAACTGATTTGATGCTTTCTGACATTAGAATATTTAAGAATTAGAAGATTATGTCGATGTTTTTAATCACAAAGCACTCCTGTAATAAATATGTCTTAATTTAGAAGCTTCATTTAGAATAAATTTGTGTGAGGGTTATTTATGGAACAACCTGCACACCGACTTAAAGACTGGAATTTTTCACAAGTAATACATTGTTTTTTGATTGTTTTATCATGTAAGATGACAAAATTTGACAAAAAGGCAACCTAATTACTTCGCACAAGCTACCATTTGTACAGTCTGTTAACAAAATATACTTTGGGATCCATCTGCTTAATACATTAGCTATGACCTTTTTGCTCTCCTTATAGTAGCGTAACAGACTTTGTTATGTTTTCAGCCAAATCTATTTATACTTTGACTTGAAGCTGTGATTTTTATCTTGATGTTTCTCCAGTTATATAGAGTAGGTTTAAAATTAAAGGGCAAAGACAACTCTCTACATTATTCAGACCTGGGAACATGGTAAACAGTAATAATAACAATAATTACAAATACTACTTTCTAAAATTCAAATAGCATTAATAGTTTCCTCCAGAAGGTAATGCAAACTGACTGCTATCAAAAGAGCTCTGTCCTGTGCAAAGGACAAAGGGCAGCAAAGCATTGCCATTAGAAAAAATCCATATATCACTGTTAGCATAATCGATATCATCTTGCCTACGTGAGCAACATTTTATAGAAGTTTTCCACTACTGTTTATATTGGATCAGCTCCAGCTAGTTGGGAGTTGTAGCCCATACAGGACATGACTGTTGCCAGTGACCCCACCTTTTTAACCACATCATGCAATTTCACTTGAAGTAACATTAATTCATAGTGGGGTTAAAATATTTGTGGCAACTGCCAAAACTACAGTTCCCAAAACTGTTCACATAGTGGAACCGAACTGGGTTTAGCCATGCTGTAGATCGTTAGGAAACGCTGCCAGTGCAAACAAGGCTTTAGTTAGTAAACGGAGAGAGAAAAAAGGCTCCTTCTACATGGGGAAGAAGTTTCACACAGCTGTCTCCTTTATGACCTTAAATACATTAATCATATATTCTCAGTTTTTACTGCTGTAATATTTTTGGTTGTTGAAAGGGAAGGACGTATCTACTCCACTCTCTGTGCTTTGGTTTCAGGGTAGTCGCCTGGGTGGTTGCGAGTCCCCCTGAAGCAAAAGAAATGGTCATTCTTCTCATGACTGACTGCTCTTTGTCCCTCAAAAGAACCATCAACTTTAAAATAAGTAATTTGCCTCCACTGATGCACAACAGTAGCACTGATATTACTCCTTTATGGCACTAGCAAGTAATAATGTTAGCACTCACATCAGGTCTTGTTGCTAATATATCTCCTCATTGTTTGAGATGTTGTCTCTGCTACCTGGTTTTGCAGACCTGTCTCAACATACTCAGTTCATGCCTACTAAAGTCAGAAATGAAACTTTTAACCAGAAGCAAAATAATACCAGACTGGAGAACGTGTTACTGTGCTAGATAAATAATAGTGACCGATCACTACCACTATTACACCATAACCTGTTGCCTGTAATAGGCAACCCTATGTTGCATAGGGTACCTTGAAACTATACACCTACCAGTGTTGCTTATATGACTACAGTATTTGTCCGTTATTTAATGTTCTGAGTCAGTTACATTACTTTTAACTTCCAACAGATGAGCTCAACGTCAAGACCAGACCTTTCACTTCAGCTCATTTTTTTTGATGGTGAAGAAGCCTTTGTCCGGTGGTCCCCTTCCGATTCCCTCTATGGATCTCAACACTTGGCTCAAAAAATGATATCTACTCCACATCCACCTGGTTCAACCACCACAAATCAGCTGCAGGGCATAGTAAGTAGCTTTCACCTCCCTAATGAGTAATAGTAAATTGCATTTTAAAAATATTTAATTAGTAAGTAATTGGCCAAATTCCCAAGAAAACATAAACCCCACCAAAGCTAAAGGAAGAAGCAGACTTGGGGCAATTTTATGAGATGTCATAAAATAGGGAGTTGGCAAGAGCTTCTCAGGTGAATCTGCTTAGACCATCTCCATGCAAGTACAAGGAGGAGACATAGAAAAATCAAAATGCACAAATTTATTAGAATATAAACTAGGATACCCACCTTCTTCAAGAGAGATAATTCAAAATGATTAGGAAAGAGCACAGACATAGTATTGGTACTGTATCTCACGTAGTAGCTCAGCACTAAGCTACAGCAAGGTCTCTGCTTCCCTTTGATTCCTACTAACATTCCACTTGTCTGCTCCCTTCTCCCTGCTGCCTTCTAGTTTTCTACTCACTGCTGAGACTTTTCTTCTGTTACTGTATCTTGTGACTCATAAAATGTCTTTCCCTCAACAGACTTTGTTGTTCTCCAGGGAAGAAGTGATTTCCTCTTTCTCCCCACCTGCCATAGTTTTTATTTTAAAGGGATATTAACACACAAACTGCAAACAAAGCCATGCAGTCTGCTGCAGCTTGAAGAACAGAGAAACAGCCTACCTTTTTCCTCCTTGGAAAGACAGCAAAATGCATTAGATTGGAAGCAGGTTCTACTAATGAGTTCTTCTCAGGCACCGTGGTAGAAAAGCCAGACCTTTAGCCAGAGCTATCAAAGACCTAGTCATGACCTATACAGGAACCAAAAGGTTTCATTGCTGCTGCTGCTGGTGGTGTAGTAATGTAAATAATTATGTATTAAAGATTCTCTCTTCTGTAGGACCTGCTTGTACTACTGGATTTAATTGGTGCACCAAACCCAGTCTTTCCCAATTATTTTCCAAACACTATTCGATGGTTTCAGAGGCTTCAAGCAATTGGTAAGGAGAGGGATATGGGCTTTGACAGATTTGAAAAGTTAGTCTGTAGTTTCTGAAAGTATTAAGTCCTGTAAATCAGATTTTTAGATTACTTTTCTGTTTTACAGTTACAATATTTAATAATGTAAATGTTAAATTTGGCGCATCTTAAACCTGTATGAAGATTTTAATATTTAATAAATAAAACAATGGAGGAAGATTCCCAGACACTTCGAAGCCATGAAACAAGCCTACTACTGAGTGTCACTCTGTGACTCTTGGGAGCTACTTTAGTTCTGTGTTTTAGTTCTCACTTCTGTAAAATGACAGTAATAGCACCAATCTTGAGGTCTCCTAAGTACTAAACAAATGCAAAAGAGTCACCAACTTCTTTTCCTTCTTTGATGGAAAAAGCTTCCACGTAAGAGGAAAAATAATTCAAATGTTCTAACAGGCCTCATATTGTCTAAAAGTCCTAACAATTGCTTTCATTGTGAATTACAGAGCAAGAGCTACACAACATGAACCTGTTGAAGAATCACCTTGTTGAAAGGCAGTATTTCCAGACTACTTTACATCGAGGCTTGGTTGAAGATGACCACATTCCATTTTTATTAAGAGGTACCGGAAGCTCTTACATGTTAAAATATAAGTTCAGTAACTAAATGCATCATTTAGTGAATAAGCAAGCACATATGAGCCTGTTTTTCAAGCTTGTTTGCCCCAACTTGAGGCTTCCAAAACCAACTTTATGCAGGCCAAGAGTCACAGCATTGAACAGCATACCTGAACAAAACCACCAATAAAACATACCCATCGTCATTTTGCACGAGTACAACTCCAATGGCACAGATATAATGGAAATTTCTGTCAGCAGCAGTGTCCTACAAAGATAAGCAACCCTGATCCAGTCAGATATCACTACATACCACACTGCCAGCAAGTTACTATTTCTAGGAGCAGTGAAAAAAACACAGGTCATATCTTCAAAGACTACAAAAATCTCCGAAGATCTGTTGTCAAAGTTACGGGTAGGCTTGCTATCACCTGTTAAAATTTGAAGGCACTGCCTCCTGCAAAATTTCACATATTCAAATTAGACATCCTCATTCACTAAAGAGAATGGACATTTTGTAACTGTCAGCTTGAGGGCTGCGAAAGGTACATAGTGTAGCCAGCAGAAATAGTGAAGAACACAATATGCCTGAAATCCCTCCTGGAATTAGGCACAAACCTGAAACTGGGATTCCCTACCTAAGCATTTCTTCCGGAAGACACCTACGCCATGGCCTCTGACTGTGTTCATTCTTTTCCTTTGGGAGAGAATCAAAGAAGGGGAAAGCAGTTGTACTACTGCTGCCACCTTGTCAAGCTATAGGTCAGTGACTAAAGCAGTTGTTCAAGTTCAAGATGTGGATTTGATGTCCTTGTCAGTTTAAGCACTCAGCAGAGCATCTTCAAAACTAAAGTGGGCCAAAGAAGGGTAGTAGATACAGTAAACCCTTCTGGTTGAAGTCTTCCACTGTACAGCAAGGACTACAAGAGTCATATTGCTAGAGAAGGGTTAAGCAAAAAGGAATGTAACGCTAGTTCAATGAAGAGGAAGGGAGGGAGGTATCTTCCTGTCCAGCCCCTAATTTTACCATGGCTTACGCTCTGTTAACTACTGAGTAATGCAAAATGCGCACACAGCTCTGGAAGCAAGTGCAAGAGCAGCTACATCTCCGTAGCTCTGGGTCCCAAGTCCAGCAAAACCAACACAACCATCAGATGCACATCCAGGGATATCAAAAATCCTACATGGGAGAAGCTGAAAGGGGAAAACAGTGACCACACCACAAAACCTTTTCAAGTAACATGATTAACACCTAGTGAAGAAAATAGATTGCTCTTAGTGGTAAGCAGCTGAAAAGTGACATAGGAAAAACAGTAAACCAGGAAAGAGGCTAGAGAGAAACAATGCTCCGCCACTGCTCCCAAAAAGTGACCAGGAAGCAGAAGGCTGATTTAATTCCTCTTTTACCTAAAATTTGCAGTATGTATAGGTGGCTTGATGTATGTGTGTGTATATGTATATACACACACACACACGCGCACTGATAACAGATTCTTTCAAGTGGAAGTTCTTTTATCTAAGTATAACAGTGGTTCTATTTTACAGAGTAAAAATAGAGACAGTCTATTTTGCCATTTATGGCGAGGACTAAAAACTGCTTGCAAAAAGTGTGCATTCTTAACACTGTCACAAGAACATGGTGATCAGTTTAGGGTTTGGGGAGCTGCAGTGGTTTCTCTGCTCTTCTGTAGCTCCTCAGCATGGTATCAACAACTACAACACAAAGTATCTCAAAAAGAAAAAGCAAATATCACAGAAAAACTACTAGCTGCAGGTGCCTAAAAAAAAAAAAAGGAGGGAAGAGTACTCAAAGGAAAGGAAGGTGCCAGAAACACACACTGAAATGGATGGGCTGCAGTCAGAGTCTTCAAAAAACATAATGTAAAAGGAAGCTGCAGTGACACACACTCCTCTATGAAGTAAGCACATTGAGTAGTTACCTGACTCTGTTGCTAAAAGGCGACATATCACTTGGCTTAACAGAACTTCTTGAATATTTCTTCTCCAAATTTCACTTTCCTTCTTACAGGGGTTCCAGTGCTACACCTGATTCCATCCCCTTTTCCTGCAGTATGGCATACCATGGAGGACACAGAAGAAAACCTTGACAGAACCACTATCGACAATCTCAGCAAAATCCTGCAAGTGTTTGTACTGGAGTATCTAAACCTGTGATAGACAAAATGGCAACAATTCGTATTCCTTTTTAAATACTGTTTGCCCACCTCCACATTTGCTATTTAATTGCATTGGAGAGCATTAAAGTGAAGCAAAATATAATGATAGCTCTTGCTAGACTGGTTATTGATTCAGCTGTTCCTGGCCCAGTGTTCCATGTAGCCAAGTAAGATAGCATTACATAAGAATTAGTTTCAGCCTGGAAAGAATTTGATCTTTCCATGTCTTACCTCCAAATAAAAAACACTAAGAATGTTTCCACATTGTTATCACTGTTTTATGTCACATATTAAGATCCCAGGAGGGAATGCTTACAGTTTGCTGTAGTGTTTGCTACAGTTTTTACAAGGTGTGACCAACTTGTGCAGTGTTCAGCAATGGAAATTGAGACATTATCAAAAGAGGCAAAAATCACACTAAAACAAACTTCTACTTTGGGTTGAACTAAATCACCTCATTCTGAAATGATTTGCTAGAACTTCCAACAACAGAAGGGATTTTTAATCCCCTCTGCTCCCTCTTCTGCTTCCTCTACAAGAAAGGCTGCAAGGACTCTTATGGCAGACAGCAAGCCACTAGGAAACAGAAAAATAACCCAAATTCAGTTTTCTCTCTCTCTTTGGATACTTGCTGATGGATAAAGGTGGTGGGGAGTGATGCTAAGAGGAAGGTATGTGGGGGTTTCCATCGTGTTTTGACTGCAACACAGGAGCTACAAAGAGAAGAGTAGGTGGTGTGTGAGCACAACACCCCAGCACACGCCATTCATTCACGTGAGAATCATTCACAATTTGACCCAAAATAAAAAAGAAAACACCTGTTGTTTTTAATAGAGATTACATCAGAAGTAACCATACTAGGAAAGTGATCGCTTTAGAAACTACAGTTTTATGTAATTTTAAAGGCAAAGTGCTATCTATCAAGAGTAAAATGAGAGTCAGAAGCAAGACAACAGTTTAAGCACCAAAAAGTAAGAACACGCCATATCCTGTATCAGAAAAAGATACTCACCAGTTTAACAATGCTGTGCTTTTACATTCTAGAATTACTCAATACATTTAGTATAAAACTCTAGCAAAAATCTAGCCTGGAATGAAATCAGTAGAAGCCAGAAGAACAGTATTCAAAAGCTACCTACAGAATTATGGTTTCCACTGGTGAGAAAAGGATGAGAGCATTTGAAGAAAATAAATAAATAAAATCAAGCTGGTAGAGGACACACTGAGAAAAAACAAGTCAGTATTTTACTGCTCTGAGCTTCTTCCATTAGAAAGTCCTATCCTGGGCACAGAGATTTAAAAAGGAAATAAGCTATGGAGTTGTAGGCATGTCAGATGTGGCCTGTATTTTATCATTTTCCTAAAGCAAACATTTCTGAACCTAAAACAATATTTGTGTACATAAAGTAGCAATAGAAATATGTACGTACAGCGATGCAAATTTGTTACATTTTACTATTACAGGGCAGCCTGAAAATGAAACTCAATCTGTCTTTGTTGCTCAAGATGAAACAAAAGCATTTTATGTTTTCCCATCACTTTAACATTTGTGAGGAATGTTTCTTTCTGCATGCAAACTACTGAAATAGAACACAATGAAAATTCTAAAAATTGCACAGGTGTGTTTCAGATATTCCTGTACCTCTGTGTAACTACATCAGCGCTATTTGAACTCTTTGCTATCATATTCTCCTCTAACTTCAGCCCATGAGAAAGCATTCTAAACTACTAAATTAAGTCTTCTTAAGTTTGAATACTCTGAGCAGTGTAAGGCACCTACTGCACTCTCCCAAGTGGAAAAAAAAGGTAACAAAATGGCTGTATACAGAAATATTAAACATGAGTTTGTGTGCTAATTTCATTCTAACAGGTGAACTCTTGTGGTACTTCATACTTTGCTGGGCCTCTGAGGAATGCTTTATGCATTTGCAGTGTGCCACTCTGCTTCATCAAGAATTTGAAAGTTAACTTCTAATAGGCTTCATTATGAAATATGGGATGAGAGGGTTGTTATAACTGGAAAAGCCTAAATTTTTAAAATCTCTTATTAGACTTAGTCAAAACCATAATTTCATGTAGTTTATAGCAAATCTCTGATATGTCAATTTTGTTACCAACTTCTCACTGCCTGAGCATGCAGTTCTCTTCAGTTATGTTTACTCAGTTCAAAGAAATGAGATACAGGTTGGTGTAATATGATTCAATGGCTCTCCAAAAATGAAGAGGCCTGCCTTCCGCTCCCCCCCGCCCCAGATTTTTGCTTTTGTTTTTTTGGGGAGGGGGGGCACAGCATGAAGGGGTTTTTTGGTACAGGAAAAGAAGGGACATCTTTTAACTGGATGTGAGCCCCGGAACGGGTTTACTTAAACAGGGGAGGTCCATCATCTTGGCAACTTATGTGATCCGTCGTTCATTTAAAAAATAACTGCTGGAAGAAAAACTAATGTCAGCCCAGTAACCACACGAATCCAAGAATCTAAGCTTCCAAAAGCACAAGAACTTGAAATAGTCAGTAAAGCAAAGGCATGGTGCAAGGAGGGTTCTCACTGCTACTAATGCACAGAAGGACAAGCAGGTAGAAGAAAATCTAGCCATTTGATAAAATAGGTAGAAAACAAAAAATACAAGTGAAAAGACCAGGACTGGTATCTCTTCCACTCTCAGTTTCAACATTGAGTATCACTAAGTGTCCCACTCTGTAGGATCTGGATATGCACAGTACAGATAATCACTTCAGAATTCAGAGACGGGCTTTAAGTTGAAGAACCTATTCCTGGGTAGTTTCTCTGTTCCTGTTGGATGGTGGCAGCAGGGGACAGAAATCAACTTAGGGACTTCAACTCATCTGGTAATTACACAAATCATCAGAATTGCTGCACAGGTCCTTGAATAACATTTGTCACATCTCAGTCAAGGGAAAAAAAAAAACAAAAAACCAAAAATCATCCACCTACCACCCATGAGAGGCTGTCATTGGCTTGCCAGAGTTCTCCTAAAGTATGTAGTTATTACCTGGGTGAAGGGAACGCAGAACGGAATGAACTCAAGAGCCATTGCTCAATAGGTAAAACCGCAAACTCCCCATATTACATTAATTATTTGTATTGTAGTAGGCACTCTAGCTCCTTCTATATCAGGACAATGCATTTTTTCACAAGAATCTTCAGCCTAAGTAATGGTACATGCCTCTCAAATTCTCTAAAGCTTGATGGATTGACCTACAAGTGAAATGATCCTATGCAATCACAGTTGGAACAAGTTAAGGGAGTAACAATGCCAAACCCTCTGGCAGACAGAAATGACAGGAAGTACCAGTCCTTTTTTTCCTCTAGCTGGAGCAGCATTCCTATCACCAGGAATGAAGACAATATAAATTAGCAATTCTTATTCACCACATTTCAAATAAACATTTAGATTTTAACCACCTAACAGCAAAATACAGTTAGAAAAGACAAAATGCAGTAAAAATGCTTTCTGTAGAATTGTTACAAGGATCCAGTCTACATTTGCAGCAGACCCAGCAAAACAGTTCTAAAGTTTCACACATCTTCTCATTGAGCTTAAAGTATCACCTGAGAGCATCACTTAAACAATCAATATATATAAAAATATAACTATACAATCTTGCACACAAATTACCACTTTTTCCTTGTCATTTAAGGATGACACTGATTTTATTTTCCTCGTATAAAAGGAGACATTTTACTCTGTGCTGATTTAACAAATAATATATTCATAACAATAAAGCAGCTAAAAAGCTGTTCTAATCTCTAAAAGAATCTTTATCAACTGCACATATGATATATATTGTAAACAATCACTCAAAAAATAATTTTGTTAAAGTGATTATATTGCACTCAGAATTCTGGGATTCTCGTTCTCCCTTCTCATTTAAAATCAAAGATCAGCTTCATTTTTTAATAAAATGGAGCTTTAATTTTCTACTAAAAACAAGTAAGCATGCAATCAATATAATACAATGTATTTAAAATGTCAGAAAAAGGGCAAGTGTTTGGTTATGTAAGGAACGTTTCTCAAATAGGCCACATGAGAGTAGTATATTGTAAACATTCTGCTGGCTCTAAGGTGTTGCAGGTGCTGTAGAGAGTGCAGTCTAGTTCAGCACCCAAGAGGTACAGGGAATCGGTTCAAGTGTTCTGTACTTCAGTCAACTTCCATGCAGCAATGGCAGGTGTAAGAGACTACACATAAAGACAGAGTAATGAAACAAAGGTGATTATTGAGCTAATACTGACCTCATAGAAACATAGCCAATCCTTACAAGTTCACCGTAATCTTTAAATGCAAGTTTTCCAGGTCATTATACATTTTCTAACACAGCAATGAAACCATTACACTTGCTGCAAATGAAGTACAGAACTAGATTCCCTTACTTGTAGCTTACATGGACTGTATACCAGTGGCAGACTGTATACCCTCAGCCTAAAATATCCCGGCAAGACCATCATGCAGACTTGTCACCTTGCTTTTTTTGCAGGAGTGACACCCTCCTCCATGTGTTGGAGTGAGAAACACAGGTAGTGGAGAGGGAAAAGGAAAAAAAAAAAAAAAAAAAGGAAAGCAATGTCCTTATGCAGAAAAAGAAATCCTCAGCCAATGTGAAGAGGCCACAGGTCTTGAAAATTCAGATGGAGGCTGTTTTTTCTCAACTCAGTTCTACAAGAGAAAGATTTCTCTATCAAACCCATTATCTTCAGGTAACACTAATATCTTTGGAGTCTCTGAGATACTACAGCTCCGTATAACCACCTTGGACAAATGGAGAGACTTAACTTAGTACACAGACTAACAAGGTGGAAGCCAACATATAGCACCCTGAGTTGCCAAGTGAAACAATAGGAATGGGCAACCCATTCCTCAACAGCCAAGAGATGCGAAGAAAGTGCAGAGGAGGCATTGGCTAGGGAATTAAGATACATACTGCACAGGAGAACAGTCCCTTTCCCCGTCATCAGAGCAGTGAAGAAAAAGACAGCAGTCAGAGCGAAGAGCTCTCTGAGAAAGGCCCTGAAGAAATATGGCCTTCTAGATGTACAATAGAATGACAATGAAAAAGCAGAGACAAGATAGGCAGTC